CATGATGATCAACCGTGACTTGACTGAACTCAGGGAGATCAGCTGTGACTTGACCTGACTCAGGAAGATCAACTGTGACTAGACTCGACTCAGGAAGATCAGCTGTGACTTGACTGGGCTCATGAAGAACAGGTGTGACTTGACTTGCCTCACGAAGATCTGCTGTGAGTTGACTTGACTCAGGAGGATCAATGGTGACTTGACTGGACTCATGAAGGGCAGCTGTGACATAACGGGGTGCTGTTGTGTCCGCCATCTTGTGAGCGTGCTCCGCGGTCGCCGCCATTTTGTGAGCGTGCTCTAGTGTGGCCGCCATTTCGCGAATGGGCTCCGCTGTCGCCGCCATCATGTGAGCGCGCTCTGGTGCGGCCGCCATTTCACGAGCGGGTAGCATCACCAGATTAGCGATCAGTGAACTTGAATATCCCGGAGCTTGTGGTTGATTAAACTCAGCAGCCACCATTACAGGCACAGACGCGGTATCACGTTCTTCCTCCGCGATACCCACAGTCCACGTGGACCCTCGTGAATGAGTTTAGACTTTAGTGGCTGATTAATGCCCTCACAGAAAAAGTCTATCAACACACAATCCGGGAAATCAGAGTAATAAGCAATGTCTAGATACTCTTGAATATAACTCTCAAGCGATCGTGTGCCCTGCTCGAGAGCTAATAGCATTATAGCTGTGTCCATACCTGGCCAGAGTCCTTTAGAGAAGCTGCTGGATGCTTGTATGGCCGAGTATTCTGTTACGGGGCTGACAAGACGTGAGACGTGCGGATCCATGTGCAAGCTTTATTAAAAGCAGAGGAGGTCAGAAACACAGGCAGGGTCGAACAGTGGCAAACAGGTATATGGCGGGCAAGACACAGGAATAGTCCTAGGGCTAGCGTAGGTCGACGATCGGCGAACGGAATCACAAGGGCGAGACTAGAGGGATAAATCCAGGAAAACAGGCAAAGGTCAGAAACCGAGAAAACAGACAAGGCAAGACTAGGCTAAGCCAAGGCAGGGTAAACTGAACAGGCTCCGTAGTGTAGCTATCAAGACGCTGTCGCCTCTGGCTTGCTTAGTTGGGGACACTTCATTTCCAGCGATATCGTCGACTTGATTGCACAGATACTATTTAAACTGAACTGAGCTGGATTATGACATCACTGAATTCAATGATGAACTGCCTTTAACTGAAAACTGAGTGTTTACTATTGTCATTTTGCATTATTGACACACTATTTTCCTATTTAATACTGTGAAGTTGCTTTGACACAATCTGTATTGTTAAAAGCGCTATATAAATAAAGGTGACTTGACTTGACTTGCACTGTACATATACTATACAGTTCTGATTTTTTTCAGTATTTTTTTCTTTCATGTGTGCTTTGGTGTGCATAAATTTATCAATTATATGGACTCCTTATATCATTTGGTTCTTTGGTGTACTTTTTTTGGAAAGACATCTAAATTTATCTTGAAAAAAGCTTGCAGAAAATACAGATTTGTGAGAATCACCCTTCAATCTTTTGGTTTACTTTGCTGGATATAGCAAATTGCAAATTTAATTAACGTGTTAAACAAGATAAATAGTGTATTTTTAATTTCATGAAGTGTGCAATTAATCGCAGTTAATCACAGATAAAGGGTGTGATTAATCCGATTAAAAAAATTGAATCTATTGACAGCCCTAATACTGTATATATATATATATATATATATATATTAGGGCTTGAGCACCACTTGGCATCTATCTGTACATGTGCCTGGTCTCTGTGAGTCTCTGTGTCCAGGACAGTCCTCTCTACGTGGGACAAGGTCGCAGTCTCTCCCTGTTCTGTCTGGATCATCAGGGGGCGTATTACAGAAACTTCCTATCTTAGGTCTTAACTTAAGGTATGATTATTTTACAAATTCGTATTATAGAAGCAAATCTTAAATTGATTTAGGATTCTTATCTTATCTTACAAAATCTTATCTTATGTCTAGTTAGGAAAACTTAAATCGCTCCATCGAGTTCGATAATCAACTGTCAGGTCTGATACCAACCAACCAACTACACGCAAGCGGTTGCTGAGGTATATTAAATCAAAATGGAGAAACAACGGCATGCTTTTAACTTGCAGAATGACTGGTATTTTTTTAAATAAAATTGTATGTCTAACTATTTTAAGCACCATGGTCCTGTGAGGCACAAAATTTAATTCCCTTGTATGTCTCTACATATTGTATAGCGGAATTACAAAAAAGCTCACTTGAACTTGAACTAATTGCAAAATGATATGTCACGGGAGTCTGTAATTATTTACGAGTGTTTTATTTTTTGTCGAGTTAGGTGGCTTGTGTAATACCCTTTTCCTATCTGTAGTTAAGATAAGATTATGCACTTAGGAAATGTTCTGTAATACCTTTTATCCTACATGGTGCCCTAACTGAAATTGTTACCTAAAAGGACCTTTTACCTTTTCTTTTCTGTGCCGTCATGACATAGCTTGTTATTTAATGTTCTTATGTGTATTCATACCATTTGCTGTTAGTAAATGTTTTAAAGACATGTTTTTTCAGACCAGTCAATGACTTCCATTGATTGACTCACTATGTATACCGTTGATGCATGGTGTCCACTACAGTGGACAGATATGTAACTTCCTCAAAATAAAATATATTGAGAAAAAAAGTTAATGGCATGATGTTTCACTTGTTTCGAAGTAAAACCAAACATTAAAAAAAATATTACTTTGTGATATAATAATTCATGCATCAAAGGGATATATATAACACAGTCTGCCTCCCCTGGCATTGATTTATATCTAAGCCAGAACAGACCACGAAGTCTTCGGTCCTAATTTGTAAGTATTTTAAAGTGCTTATAATTTAGATCCGATTTGACTTACCTAACCTGAGAATTATAAAAATAATGTGTTTAAATATGCACCATAAAACAACATAGCGCATGACATCACTCATCCATGTATTTTTAGGTTGTTCATGTGTCCTGTTCTCATTCTCATGACACAGGTTTATCAGAAACAAATAGTTTTGTCAGTTTTCCTGCAGGAGGCGCTGGAGGCTTCGATTACTGTACTGAAACAGGATCTGGAAATGACCTCATCAAACAAACATGTGAAAGTGAAACTGTCAAACGTATCTGATACTGAGTAGGGTTGGTAAACACTGGGCAATGGGAGCAATTGAAAACGTAACTTTCTCTTTATCTGAAATAACCTTCATGTGCCATTCCTTTGAAATTGAAAGAATAAGGGACGCCATTTCTGGGCAAATGTTTACACTGGATATTTAAAGAGCCGTATATTTTTCGGTAAGTTCAGAACATATTCTACATGTAACCATATAGTAATAAAAATGAGCTGCTATTTTGTTCGTTTTTTTTTTAAATTTTGTTTGATTTTTTTGTTTTTGGAATTCCTTGTATGGTATTTCAAACACAGACCATTACATTTCAGCAACATAACAGCTCTGACAAAAATGGCAGAAACAACAACAATTAAAGTAATCAGAAAAAATACTGATGAACAGTATTTATGATTGTTGATCCTGCTTGATAAACGAGAGAGAACTTGGTTGTACTGTTGCGCCCTTACTAAAATAACTGCCACTTTTAACTGTGATGCATGTGTGATAAACAGCAGAGCTGCTAGCCACTGCAGTTCAGTTTACCTCCAAAATGTTTTGTTTTCGAGTTTTCATGAGGAGAGAGAGAAGGACACTGGCTCTAAAATGAGTTCTCCGTCTTCTGAATCAAGCTGTGATCAACCCATGAAGAACCTACCCTTTGCTTTTACTGATGCAACACTGACTGACCCCAGGTAAGATACTAGCCATTACTGCATTAGCCAGATTCTTTTTTTCAAAGTAGTGATGCACCATAATATTTTTTACTGAAATACCAAAACTGAATTCATTTAGTGAAAACTGAAACTGAATCTATTAGTTTTAATCAATTAATTAATCAAATTTATTTAAACAATGCTCAAATATAAACAAATAAAGTTGTAAACCAATAAAATGCACATTAAACAGTTTTATATAAACTTCTTAATAATATAATGATTTTCCTACTCCAATTCATTGTTGAAATGTAAACATTTAAAGATTACTGTACTGTACTGTACTGTACTTCTTTTGAATTCATGAAAGATTTATGCAAAATAATGAAGACATCACTAACAAGTTAAGAATATAGTTAATATGTAATACAGTGCGTATATTTATCAAAATGCTCCTCTCTAAGTTTTTTCTTTCGTAGCTAAATAATGACATTGAATGTCTTTCCTGAGGTAAATGTAACATTATTGTTTACAACCTGTTTTATTGACATCTTTTCTTGTTTGAAACACTGACTGACGCATGCATGTGCATTCCTCTGCACATAAACAACGCATACGCTGCGCCTTGTTTACGAGCAGAGGAATGCGCACACGCGTCATGGTACTCTCGATAATGACTTAAAGGAGAAGAATTGTTGAATAAAGTCGTTATTTTTATTTTCTTTGTGCACAACATTTTCTGATGTCACATGGACTGTTTTACCGATGTCCTTACTGCATTTCTCGGTCTGGGAAAATTTCAGTTGGGTTGCTGTCTATGCAGAGTCAGAAAGCTCTCGGATTGCATCAGAAATATCTTAATTTGTGTTCCAAAGATGAATGAAGGTCTTACGGGTTTGGAATGACATGAGGGTGAGCAATTAATGACAGAATTTTCATTTTTGGTGAACTATCCCTTTAAGGCATGTTTGAAAACTACAGGTATGTGTGTAAGAGCAGGGTTGGAACTAAACTCTATGACTGTGGCCCTCCAGTATACAGTGGCCTATATTGTAGCACAGGAGTCTCAGAAGCGGAATCCATGTGCAGCTTTATTAATGTGATATGTTGTGTTCAGTATGTTACAGGGCTCTTTCAGTGTGTGCGCTAGTGTGAGAAGCACACGTGAGACAGAGAGAAAATAAAAAAGAAGCATCCGTTCAAGCTGTAGAATTGAGTTCTTAAGCGTTCAATCAGTTTAAACATAACATTGGTGACAAGGATGGCTGAGTTTATCTTACAGCCTCCAGCACCTTTTCTTTCCATGCCTGGTGAACCGCCTATTCTGTGGGTGAGTTGGTTTGATGGTTTCACAGTATATCTCGAGGCCTACAATGACTACAATGACATGCTGGAGCAGAGAAAGATCGCCCTGCTTCTCCACTGTCTCTGGGCGAAGGGACAGAGAATATATCGTGCTCTCGGGCATGCTGAAACTTACGAGGAAATGGTCGCTCCAGTTCAGTTTTCCAGTGCAGCTTGCACAGCTGCAAGGAAGCTGTATGAGTTCATTTTTCTGCAATAACTGTGGCTCTAGCTCAGACAACTCAAGGGCCCAAAATTGTCCTGCATGGGGAAAGACATGCAGGAATTGCCTTTTCTAAAGTATGCCGATCAGCCCCTTCAACGCAAGCATCACAGAAGCGATACCTGCCTGTCTCTAATAACTGCACTGAAAGCAGAAATGTATCAGCGAGCCAAACAGCTTTTAGAGCATGACCCCATGACCACAGCTTTTTGACCCCATGTTAACAAGACTCTGCACCTATATACACTCAGGACGGACAGCGCGAGTGCCAGAGGAGTTAGTGCCGTTTGCAAGGATGCGGAATGAGCTGACATGTTGGGGTGATGTTTGTATTTCCAGGGGTCTTTGTACAGTAGTGCCAAGCAGCCTGTGTGCACGTGTCCTTTCAATGGCACATGAAGGACACTTGGGCATTGTAAAATTTAAGCAGAAATGCCGGGACCTGGTTTGACAAAATTAACACTACTGGTCAGGGACTGTGAACCGTGTCTCCTCAGTGGAAAGACTGGACAACCAGCCCCAACCCCTTTGCAGCCAGTCCCATGGCCTTGGGCACCTACAGCTAAGCAACTGTGGGGAAATTCATGGCCATGGAGTTCCATTCTACATAAATGTCCCGAGGTTGTGCCGGCAAGGATGGTTACTTCACAGAATATCTCGCAGATACTGGACAATCTATTTGCTCATTGGGGCATGCCCCATGCCATAACTACTGACAACAGGCCCCAGTTAATTTCCGCAGAATTCTTAACCTTTCTCAGCAAATGGTTTTCATTTCCTTAAAAAAGCAAAATGTGACCCTGCACCACAAAACCAGTCATAAGGGTCAATATTTGGCCGGGATACAACTATTTGAAAATCTGGAATCTGAGGGTGCAAAAAAACCAAAATATTGATAAAATCATCTTTAAAGTTGTCCAAATGAAGTTCTTAGCAATGCATATTACTAATCAAAAATTAAGTTGTGATATATTTACGGTAGGAAATTTACAAAATATCTTCATGGAACATGATCTTTACTTAATATCCTAATGATTTTTGGCATAAAAGAAAAATCAATAATTTTGACCCATACAATGTATTTTTGGCTATTGCTACAAATATACCCCAGCGACTTAAGACTGCTTTTGTGCTCCAGGGTCACAAATGACAGTGGGGGCGGTACTGCGTTGGGCAAGTAATGTATTCTGTGTACAACCGAACACCGGGTAATAGATAGATAGATAGATATTGCAATTAATCAATTAATTTAAAAAAAATCATGTGCTGGTGTGACCAGTGGAAGAATAAGTCTAGAACCCTGTGGCTGTAACTACAAACCAGGGGTGAATGAAACTTTGATAACAGACACAAGGTCAGGCATACTAACATCAAGGCACTGAACTGGGTGTGAGTCCGCAGACCTTACCGTAGCAGCAAAATGGCATCGCCAGTTACAGTCCACTATGTTCCTGTTAAAGACAAGGGCGACACATGGGCCTGAGCATTTGATATTACTGTCATAAAATCAGTACAGCTTCTTGAGGTGGCAAATTATGAATTTGTTACTATAGCTACAGAAGAAGGACATGAATATCACTGAATGGTTTGAAGTTGGATCTGTTCCTCACAGGTTTTGTAAATATATTGTTGTGTAAATAAATGTTCCTTATGCCAGCTTAATCAAGTGAGTTCTTTAATGGACTTTAAAATTGAAAAAAATGTTCATAGGTTTCTTAAGTCATGTTATATATGTACTATAATATACAGTGGGTACGGAAAGTATTCAGACCCCCTTAAATTTTTCACTCTTTGTTATATTGCAGCCATTTGCTAAAATCATTTAAGTTAATTTTTTTTCCTCATTAATGTACACACAGCACCCCATACTGACAGAAAAACACAGAATCGTTGACATTTTTGCAGATTTATTAAAAAAGAAAAACTGAAATATCACATGGTCCTAAGTATTCAGACCCTTTACTTTGCGTACCCACTGTATATAATTAAAATGAAAGTAAATGTTTAGGCTAGGTATCAATTTTAAATTAAATATTAATGAACAGTACAGTAGATATAGAAATGAACTGGAACTGGCCCAAGTGCATTTTGCTGTCTGGGAAAGTTTCACACGGATACCAAAGATTTGGATTACAGCACACAAATAAAATACTTTTATGATCATTGTTTTGTATGTTTGTGTATGGCAGCATATTTTCTTTCATTCTGTTGTTTTATGTATGCATGTATGGATGCATGTACCCCAGAGCTCCTGGAAACCACAACAAATTATTTGTGTGTTTGTGCATTCCTGGCAAATTCCTGATTCTGTTTTGTCCATTGTCACTATCAGCAGGTGGAAGAGGCTGAGATCAGAGTCTCCAGAACCCAGTGGTGTGTCTGTGAAGAGTAATGCATCTATGATGTATCCCCCTGCACTCTGTGAGGCAACAGTGACCTCTGACCTCAGGTAAGACACTTGCCAGATGCTTTTTTTTTTTTTAATTGACTTGCACTGAATTCCAGAAGCCTGCAGTCGGTGGGTGAACAGTACCTCATATAGTAGCATCACAGAGAGGCACAAAAATCACTTTCTTGAACCTGCTCTTTCTGAATCTCGGAACTGTAATTTGGTCTGGATAAATGTGTCTTCTAAATAAATAAATGTAAAAGTATAGTGCATTCAAGCTATACATTAAGACAGGAATCAGTGCTTGAGATCAGAAATTGACAGCAGACAGCAGACAGGCCTAATATGCCATTGCCACTATCAGCAGGTGGAAGAGGCTGAGATCAGAGTCTCCAGAACCCAGTGGTGTGTCTGTGAAGAGTAATGCATCTATGATGTATCCCCCTGCACTCCGTGAGGCAACAGTGACCTCTGACCTCAGGTATGACACTAGATGTTTTTTGCATTTGTCAGATTATTTTATACAAACGGCTTATTGTGTATTCCAGCAACCTACACACACACACACAAATCACTTTCCTGACCCTTCACTGTTCCTCGCTATTGAATGAATACCAGATCAGTATCATTAGGGGACATAAATCAGGTTTGGCAGGATATACCCAAAATAACAAGCTGTGTGTCTGTGTAGAGAAACAGTGATGAATTCAATGATGCAGTGACCTCTGACCCACCGTTAGCATAAGCATTTACTTCCTAATTTACTGTAGTACATCCCAGATGAATAATAATTTAAGAAATTCAATGAAATAACACTAAATGTGCTACAAAAATCTCATCCACTGTGCTTCAGAAGCTCCTGGAAGAAGATCTGAGCGCAGAAATCCCTCAAACTCTGACTGAAATGTACATCCACTACCTGCTGATTCAGATCAACATAAGGAACCAGAAGTATGAAGAGAAAGATCCAGAGAAACTCCTGCAGTCCAACAGAGATGCTCACTGCTCAACAATCACCTACATGCTTCAGATGTCAGAGGAGCCGCTGGATGAGCTGGACCTCAAGAAATACAACACATCAGATGAGGGGAGAAGAAGACTGGTACCAGCTGCGATCAACTGCAGAAAAGCTCTGTAAGTGTTAAATAATTTTATTATTTAAAGTCACTTCTGAATTAAATTAGTTTTTGTTGTTGTGATAATACATCTTGAGTGTATTTTACTTATTTTCACAGTAGGAAGTCAACTAAAATGAGAAAACAAACAAATAGCCACGTTTTAACGAAAACAAAGTAAATAAAATATTAAAAATTAGTAATAAAGGGATGAATTAATAAAAAACATACATGAACAAATTAAAAATATATAATTTTGTATTATCTTTTTTATGCATGTAGAGTGTGGTAAATTGTGGCAATGTGTGGTGTTGTCACAAATCAGGCCTCTGTGGCTCTCTCCGACCGCCACCGGAGGGCACCCTCTCCTGAATACTAGCATTCATGGACTCCATTTCCCATACACCCCGTACCTGGGACTGATTACTGGCACAGGTGTTTCCCCTTAGCTTCCCCATTTAAGCTGCATCCGGACTCTTAGTTTTCGTGAAGTCTTGTTTTGCCACGGCTAACATCTCTGAGCGTTTATCCCGTCTATTTGATCTCTCGTGTATTATCTTGGATTGTTCATTCTAGTGTGATTCTCTGCCACCTTCCCCGACCCTCGCTCTGTTACTGTTTACTCTCCTGGATTGTCCCTGTTGTTCCTGACGCCGTTGATTGATTACTGCCTGTTTGACTCTGCTATTTATTTAATAAAAGCTGCAAATGGATCCGCACGCCTCTGACCCCTCATTACACAAGACTTCACCGAACACAGATCCAGCAGCTCTTTATAAGCTCACCACTGAGGTTTCTGCCCAAGCCTCCATGTTAGCGTCTCATCAACAACAGCTGTAACGACTCACCTCGCTCACGGAAGAGATGGTGAGGACGCTACAAGCCCTTCGCGTCACCATGCCTGAGCCCAACATTCCTCCATCCGTTCCGTCACAAACTATTCCCAGTCCCAGTCACTCGTCTACCAGCCCACATCTGGCATTTCCCGAGAAATTCGACGGCTCACCGGAAAGATGTAAGGTCTTTCTATTACAATGCTCCATGTTTGTAAATCAACAACTGCAGTTATACCCCACCGAAGATAGTCGGGTTTTGTTTGTTTGCTCATTGTTGACTGGACGAGCTCTGGACTGGGCCACTGCTGCTTGGGAGGGGAGACGGGTGTCATTTCCATCATTTGACTGCTTTCTGAGACGTTTCTGCAAGGTTTTTGAGAATTCAGCGGGCGGAAAGGAGCCTGAAGAACAGTTACTCGCTCTACGACAAGGACGAAGCACAGCTGCGGATTATGCTCTCTCATTCCGCACCCTCGCATCACAGTCAGGATGGGAGGACGAACCACTTAAACTGCTGTATCGCAAGGGACTCACTGCCGAGTTAAAGTCAGTACTCGCCTGCCGTGACGAGGGGAAGACCCTCGAACAATTAATTGATCTCTCCATTCGCATTGATAATTTAATGTGTGCACGACATGCCCCTCGCCACATTCCTGTGTATACTCAAGCGGTCACAGTTTCCTCTGAATCGGAACCCATGCAGATTGGTTTCACTCGCCTCACAAATGAAGAACGAGAGAGAAGAATTCGTAATCATCTCTGTCTCTACTGCGGTCTATCCGGCCATCTGAGAGCCTCTTGTCCTACTCGTCCTGCTGCTCGAAGTTCCGCTACGGTGAGTTCTACTCCTGATTCCATTAACTGGCTAGAAGTTCCCATTGCTCTAATGTTTAATGGTAAATGTACAGAGACCGTATCTCACTGGAGTCCAATCAGAGACTCTTACAGGATCTACTGACACACACAGAGAACAGCTCAGAGAGCATCAGGAAAACCACACAGTTCATTAAAGAGAAGATCAAAGATGGACATGGACTCTCCACTGAAAGATCCATCAATCTGTTCCTCTGTCTGCTGGAAGTGAAAGATCAGACTCTGTCCAGAGAGATTCAGGAGTTTGTGAAGTCAGACAAGCACTCAGAGAAGAAACTCTCTCCTGCTCACTGCTCAACAATCACCTACATGCTTCAGATGTCAGAGGAGCCGCTGGATGAGCTGGACCTCAAGAAATACAACACATCAGATGAGGGGAGAAGAAGACTGGTACCAGCTGCGATCAACTGCAGAAAAGCTCTGTAAGTGTTAAATAATTTTATTATTTAAAGTCACTTCTGAATTAAATTAGTTTTTGTTGTTGTGATAATACATCTTGAGTGTATTTTACTTATTTTCACAGTAGGAAGTCAACTAAAATGAGAAAACAAACAAATAGCCACGTTTTAACGAAAACAAAGTAAATAAAATATTAAAAATTAGTAATAAAGGGATGAATTAATAAAAAACATACATGAACAAATTAAAAATATATAATTTTGTATTATCTTTTTTATGCATGTAGAGTGTGGTAAATTGTGGCAATGTGTGGTGTTGTCACAAATCAGGCCTCTGTGGCTCTCTCCGACCGCCACCGGAGGGCACCCTCTCCTGAATACTAGCATTCATGGACTCCATTTCCCATACACCCCGTACCTGGGACTGATTACTGGCACAGGTGTTTCCCCTTAGCTTCCCCATTTAAGCAGCATCCAGACTCTTAGTTTTCGCAAAGTCTTGTTTTGCCACGGCTAACATCTCTGAGCGTTTATCCCGTCTATTTGATCTCTCGTGTATTATCTTGGATTGTTCATTCTAGTGTGATTCTCTGCCACCTTCCCCGACCCTCGCTCTGTTACTGTTTACTCTCCTGGATTGTCCCTGTTGTTCCTGACGCCGTTGATTGATTACTGCCTGTTTGACTCTGCTATTTATTTAATAAAAGCTGCAAATGGATCCGCACGCCTCTGACCCCTCATTACACAAGACTTCACCGAACACAGATCCAGCAGCTCTTTATAAGCTCACCACTGAGGTTTCTGCCCAAGCCTCCATGTTAGCGTCTCATCAACAACAGCTGTAACGACTCACCTCGCTCACGGAAGAGATGGTGAGGACGCTACAAGCCCTTCGCGTCACCATGCCTGAGCCCAACATTCCTCCATCCGTTCCGTCACAAACTATTCCCAGTCCCAGTCACTCGTCTACCAGCCCACATCTGGCATTTCCCGAGAAATTCGACGGCTCACCGGAAAGATGTAAGGTCTTTCTATTACAATGCTCCATGTTTGTAAATCAACAACTGCAGTTATACCCCACCGAAGATAGTCGGGTTTTGTTTGTTTGCTCATTGTTGACTGGACGAGCTCTGGACTGGGCCACTGCTGCTTGGGAGGGGAGACGGGTGTCATTTCCATCATTTGACTGCTTTCTGAGACGTTTCTGCAAGGTTTTTGAGAATTCAGCGGGCGGAAAGGAGCCTGAAGAACAGTTACTCGCTCTACGACAAGGACGAAGCACAGCTGCGGATTATGCTCTCTCATTCCGCACCCTCGCATCACAGTCAGGATGGGAGGACGAACCACTTAAACTGCTGTATCGCAAGGGACTCACTGCCGAGTTAAAGTCAGTACTCGCCTGCCGTGACGAGGGGAAGACCCTCGAACAATTAATTGATCTCTCCATTCGCATTGATAATTTAATGTGTGCACGACATGCCCCTCGCCACATTCCTGTGTATACTCAAGCGGTCACAGTTTCCTCTGAATCGGAACCCATGCAGATTGGTTTCACTCGCCTCACAAATGAAGAACGAGAGAGAAGAATTCGTAATCATCTCTGTCTCTACTGCGGTCTATCCGGCCATCTGAGAGCCTCTTGTCCTACTCGTCCTGCTGCTCGAAGTTCCGCTACGGTGAGTTCTACTCCTGATTCCATTAACTGGCTAGAAGTTCCCATTGCTCTAATGTTTAATGGTAAATGTACAGAGACCGTAGCATTGATAGATTCGGGGGCTGCGGGATAGTTGTCTTTTGGGCGGTTTGCCAATACTCATAACCTCCCTCTTTCTGTGTCTCTCCTCTGAATCGGAACCCATGCAGATTGGTTTCACTCGCCTCACAAATGAAGAACGAGAGAGAAGAATTCGTAATCATCTCTGTCTCTACTGCGGTCTATCCGGCCATCTGAGAGCCTCTTGTCCTACTCGTCCTGCTGCTCGAAGTTCCGCTACGGTGAGTTCTACTCCTGATTCCATTAACTGGCTAGAAGTTCCCATTGCTCTAATGTTTAATGGTAAATGTACAGAGACCGTAGCATTGATAGATTCGGGGGCTGCGGGATGGACGTCCTTTGGGCACAGGACAGGTCAAGTTCATCACCAAGGATCTGTGTCTCTGAACTGGCATACTTCACACGGAAACCATCCGCCTATTCGCCATTGAATCTCCTCAGAATCCCATCATCCTTGGCCTGCCCTGGCTAGAAAGACACAACCCCTGAATTTCATGGACAAGTCAAGTCAAGTCACCTTTATTTATATAGCGCTTTTAACCTCTTTATTCACTGCTACGAATTGATGGCAGTCATATAAGTACGATTTGAACCATGCTAATGCACTTCCATTAATGCCAACAAAGTTTTCTAGTCTATGCAAAAGAATGTTGTGGACAACTAAACAGATTCTACAATTGTCTGACTCCTGCCAACAGAATTGTTTGCTCACTAACCTATCGCACTCCTCTCCACGACCAGCCCAGATAACAGATGATTCACCGGTTCCGGGAGTACCCTCTGAGTACCATGACCTCGCTGATGCTTTCGGTAAGACCAAGGCCTCACAACTTCCTCTTCACCGACTCAGTGACTGCGCTATCGATCTTCTTCCAGGATCAAGCCCATCTAGAGGTAGAGTTTTCCCACTATCGCAATCAGAATCTGAGGCCATGAAGGCATATATTGAGGAGGAGCTGTCAAAGGGGTTCATTAGACCATCCACCTCACCTGCGTCAGCTAGCTTTTTCTTTGTCAAGAAGAAAAAGGGAGGTCTCCGACCATGCATTGATTATTGCAGTCTCAATGATATAACAGTCAAATTCCGTTACCCTCTACCTCTAGTCCCAGCAGCTCTGGAGCAACTTCGCACTGCTAAATATTTCACCAAGCTCGACCTTCGCAGCGCCTACAATCTGATTCGCATTCGGGAGGGAGACGAGTGGAAGATGGCTTTCTCGACAACGTTAGGGCACTATGAATATCTTGATATGCCGTTCGGATTGGTCAACAGTCCTTCAGTCTTCCAAGCTTTCATTAATGATGTTATCCGTGACATGCTGAACCAAGGGGTCATAGTCTATATTGATGACATCTTGATTTATTCGGATACCCTGGACTCCCATGTGCAGCACGTGCGGGCAGTTCTTCAGAGGCTCATTGATAATCAACTATATGCCAAGATTGAGAAATGTGATCAGCACCATTGCAGCACCTCTCACCTCCATGCTAAGAGGAAATAAACGCCGTCTACTCTGGTCATCATCTGCCACCATGGTATTTCAACAGCTAAAGGAACATTTCACCTCCGCGCCCATTCTTCACCATCCTGACCCTGAATTAGAGTTCTTCGTGAAGGTGAATGGATTCAACACAGGCATCGGAGCCATACTCTCTCAGCGTCAGGGAAACTCAACTCTGCTGAGCAGAACTATGATGTAGGAGATCGGGAACTTCTAGCCATGAAAGCAGCCTTGGAGGAATGGCGTCACTGGTTGGAGGTGGCCAAACTTCCCTTTGTTGTTCTTACGGATCACCGCAACCTCGAGTACCTCAGATCGGCCAAACGACTCAATCCACGGAAGGCAAGATGGTCCCTATTTTTCGCTCATTTCAATTTCAAAGTAACCTATCGTCCTGGCTCAAAGAATTCTAAGGCAGATGCTCTCTCCAGGCAGTTCGAATCAGCTCAGATCCCACCATCCAAGGAACCCATAATCCCCTCTAACCTCATTCTCACTCCTGTTCAATGGGACATTATGACAGAAATTGCAGAGGCCCAGATCAGTGAACCCCCTCCGCCAGAATGTTCTCCTGATCGTACCTATGTTCCTCCTAGCCTTCGTCATCGTGTGATGCAATGGGTCCATAACTGCCCCAGCGCAGTTCACCCAGGAATTACGGCCACCATTCAACTCATCTCTAACCGCTTCTGGTGGCCCACTCTCCAAGCGGATACCATTAATTTTGTTCATCAGTGTACCATTTGTAACGTCTCCAAATCTTCCCACCTGCGCCCAGCAGGTCTTCTTCAGCCACTTCCTGTTCCCCGACGGCCATGGTCACACATAGCCATAGACTTTGTCACTGATCTCCCCAGCTCAAGGAACTATACCACCATCCTAACAGTAATTGATCGTTTCTCCAAGGCATGCCGTCTCATATCCCTAAGTAAACTCCCCACAGCCTTTGAAACAGCAGAGGTACTCTGCTGTACTATTTTTACGGACTCCCTGAGGACATTGTTTCGGATTGTGGCCCTCAGTTCACTTCCCGAGTTCTCATATCCCTAAGTAAACTCCCCACAGCCTTTGAAACAGCAGAGGTACTCTGCTGTACTATTTTTACGGACTCCCTGAGGACATTGTTTCGGATTGTGGCCCTCAGTTCACTTCCCGAGTTTGGTCCGCGTTCTGCCAACACCTCAACATTAACATCAGTCTCACCTCTGGATACCACCCACAGTCGAATGGCCAGGTAGAGAGATTAAACCAAGAGCTTACCCGCTTTCTGCGTGCCTATTGCCATCAGAATCAGAACGACTGGAGTCGCTTCCTCCTGTGGGCGGAATACGCACAGAATTCTCTCCGCAAACCATCCACCGGCCTTACGCCTTTTCAATGTGTACTCGGTTTCCCACCACCCCTGTTTCCCTGGTCCGGAGAACCCTCAGAGCTCCCTGCCATCAACGACTGGCTCCAACGAAGTGAGGAAACATGGAATGCTGCTCATGTGCACCTCCAACGCGCCATCCGCAGGGTCAAGGAACAGGCCGACCGTCACAGGAGGTCAGGTCCCGCTTACACCCCAGGACAATGGGTCTGGCTCTCCACAAGAGACCTTCGCCTTCGGCTCCTGTGCAAGAAGTTGAGTCCCAGGTACGTGGGTCCATATAAAATCATTAGACAAATCACACCTGTATCTTACCGTTTGGCTCTTCCCTCAAGTTATCGTATCTCACCCACCTTTCATGTTTCTCTGCTTAAGCCCGCCGGTTGTCCGAGAGGAGAGCGGGACCAGGAGGAGGCCGTGAACGAGAGTCCCCCTCCCATCATTGTGGATGGCAAGGAGGCGTACCAGGTGCAGGAAATCCTGGACTCCCGACGCCGGGGCAGGTTACTGCAATACCTCATTGACTGGGAGGGGTATGGTCCTGAGGAGAGATCGTGGGTTAATTCTCAGGATATCCTGGACCCTTCACTCACTACTGAATTTCATAGAACCCATTCTCGCAAACCAGCCACTCGCTCCCGTGGAAGGCCTCGGCGTCGTTCTCCTCCTCGCTTCAGGAGCCGCTCGCAGGGGGGGGGCTCTGTCACGAATCAGGCCTCTGTGGCTCTCTCCGATGGCCTCCGGAGGGCACCCTCTCCCGAG